AGTTATAAACCAGCCGCAACTAATCTTATAGATAGATAATAAAAAGTTGACGTGGTCTGTGCTGTTTGCGGCAAGTTTACAATCTATTTTTAACCCAAAAGTCGACCTCCAAAAATATAGATATTCATATGGTTTAATAAAATCGACCAAATGGCATTACTTATAGTAGTAATTACTTTAATTACTACACATAACTTCACGTAAGTACATCTTACACCGTGCTCTCTTTACCAGAATGATAAAATCAGAGGCTGTAAAGTTACGTAGGTCGTGGTGGTAACGCCGCTGTCTAGAGATATAGTACGAACTCAGTACTCAGGACTACTACTGAGGGTGGATGACAATTGTTATCTTATTTCTGTCAAATTTGAGTATTATTTTTAGTAATTATGTATATGACCATCAATCTGGAGTCTGGAGCCGGCTGATTGCGTACTAACGTACTATTTCGAAGCGCACAAATAGACCCTTCACCTTCACGCGCGTCGGCGATTTTTGACCTACTATGTATATCTATATATATCTAGTGATTTACTTCTTCCAGAAATCCCTAGAATCTAGGGTTTTTTTCAAGACGGTTCCCCTAGAAAATAGTTTGCGTCAGTCCGCGAAATCCGAAACGCTAGATGGCGCTGATCTACTGTATACGAAATATATAATTTTAAACACGATCACACGATGACAATATTGACAATTGACAATACAATACCAACAATTTCACACCCGCGTTTACTCCGCCTTTTAACCAGGTGTGCTGGTGTGTTCCGTGTGCGTGTGCGCGCAGACAAATTTGATTAGGCCAACTTGGCAACTTGCAGTATATTTTTACTATTTAAGTAGTTGAATAAAGATGTAAGACTAAAAAAATTACGTTTTATTTCAGATTATTTCAAGAGTTTTTGCAACTTTTAGTCTAGGCTTGTATTATAGTTATATCTTTGATTATATTTATCGACATCGTGTACAGTAGATCAGCGCCATCTAGCGGTCATTATTTTTTGGCCAAAAGTGGCTCCTAAAATTCTAAATCAGAGCATTCAGGATTAGAGCCATTTAGTCAATTATAAACCAGCCGCAACTCATGATGAAACTATAAAATAAAAAAGTAACAATACATGTGTTTTTGGCGGCAAGCTAACAATTTATCTTATGCTCGAAAATTTGTCTTCAAAAGTATAAACACATAGGAGGTCGATTTTTTGGTAGAAAATAGATTGTTAACTTGCCGCCAAAAACATATGTATCGTTGTTTTTTCATTATATAGCTTCATCATGAGTTGCGGCTGGTTTATAACTGATTAAATGGCTCTACGCGCTAAAGCTCTGGTTCAAAAGTTTAGGGCCACTTTTTAGTTCAGAAATTCGCAACGCTAGATGGCGCTGATCTACTGTATTTATTCATATTTTTATTCATATTTTTATTTTTAAAACTTACAGAGACATGGTAATGAGAGACATAGCCCAGTTAGATAATCCAATATCTAAACCACTGGCAATGCCTGGTGGACCCAATATCCACACCATGGATTGCCAATTTAACTGGCAGATCTGTTGTGTTTTGTAGCATTTTCTTATGTACCTTATAAAGCTTGATAAAAAATATTTTAATACTAAATGACTGCATACCACAAGTAAGGGATAGTTTAACTTCTGAAACGAAAAAAAAAATATGCAAATTTAAACACTCATGGAAAAGCAAAACACAGCTAATCAGATGTTTACGGTTTGCGGTTTACTCACATATGTTCCATACAACCATTTTTGATAAAATGTCAATCCAATGGATAACACAAAGTACAAGCATATGAGGCCTCCAGTTTGGAGTAACTTGTGCCAAAAAACATTTTTCTTTAAAATGGTCTGGTACTCTTGCACATTTTGTAGGAAGTAATCATTGGTATCCTCTTCGTGCCTCGTGAGTTCGTACTTGACGTTAGATCTAGGCATATTTTTATCCTAAGAAAGTCTGAAAGTATTAAATAAAACACGTTTTAGTACACGCAGCAAAGTCAAACAATTAAAGTAAAGACATATGGAAATGCCAATGATACCTTCAGTCCTCATTTAAATGGATATAATATTGAAGAGAAATGCCATACAATTGTAGACATGTAGATAAAACGGTCTGTTAGTTTTAACAAACAAATAAGTATCACAGTTTCAGAATCTTTAATACCTCTTGATCATGGTATTTTTACACGTTGTCCTACAAGTTCACAGCAACTTTAATAAAATATAAAGCAATAACACACCAATAATTGGTCACATTAACAATTATTAACCCTTTTACAACTTCATCCTATGTTAAAACACATTATACAATACACATGGTGACATGCGCCACTGATTACCGATAAAAAGATAAGAGAGAGTTATAAAATCAAGTAAACTTGTATTACATTGCAATGCATATGTTTGCCGCCACGCAAGCACGGGATAAAATAACAAGCAGAACAAAAAAAAATTTTAACGTCCAATTAAAAAATCTCACACTCTTTTTTATCATTATGCCTCTTATCGTACATGATCTCTCTCTTTATCACTAAAAGTATACACATGTATCAATTCTGTAAATGCAGTTAAGATAAGTATGGGAAAAAACAGGGAAGATGACATATGTAACCTCCAAGCCTGGGTGAGATAAATTAGGAGGCTCCTACTGAAAGCAGTTATCTTATACTCGAGAGAAAATTTGACGTCGCCAGAACGATCGTTGAAGCATTTTGAAATGCCTTTTTGCAATCGTTTTTCTTTTTTTTTTTTTCACATAATTTCACACTTTTTGACAAACACACATATTATACCCCACTGTTATTGTTTTGATGAGAGTCTGACTGATACGAATATGAGTCTGTTTGACTAATTTACTTATAGTGTTAGTCCGAAGTGATCAGACTTGGAAAATTTTTTTTTGTGTCTCATTTAAAAATCTCTGACTGTGTATGTAAAATTTTTTGTTACCAATCGAAAACGTAGTATCAGGTTTTGTTTGAAAAAATTTATTATACTCATTAATATATTTTATACATTGGAAAAAAAATGACACTATTAAAATTAAAACATGAATTTCTGTACCTATGTGCAAAAAATTTTTAAGTATATACTTTGATATGTATTATATGTACTCTGATACCTTTTTTTTAACACAACACCACGACTATAAATGTAGTAATGATAATACTAATTTAAATTATAGTTACAACTAAAAATGAATTGCATAGTACTTTCACCACATTCAACAAGGATCGGATTTTTTCTAGAATAAGCATTTAGTAATTTTACACTATTTTTTTAAAACGTGATGTGATGTACTAAAGAAGGAAGATTGGAACTGGGGCAGTGATGAGCCGCTAAAACGTTTTTAATTTGTCTTTAATTTGTTTATAAATGAAAGTGTCATACAAGACATATTATTGCAAAAATGTATAAATTAATTAACACCTTGAAAATATCTTTCCGTTTTTTTTCAGCAGTCTGGCTCTGTACTTGTAGGTCGAAAAATAAATTGTGCAAGTACTTTTAGTAGCATCTTATACCTTTCGAAAATTGTAACAAAAAAAATGCATCAGTTTGCAGTTTCATTTTCAAGCGTTGTAAGTATTACGTTTTCAAACAAAAGTACTTATAAACATATCAAGTATTTATGTTTCTTTTATATGTTGAACATCACCATTTTTTACGACGCGAATACTCCAAAGGAATATCTTACACCTTTTTATATTACACTGTTTCGTGTTTGCAAAAATTAATAAATTTACTTAAAAAGCTGTATATATGATGTACATTATGCCAAAGTATCAAAATATTTGGGCTACACATGAATAACAGGATATAAAAATTAATTTCAATGCACAAATATACACAATAAACGTCTTTTCTTCTTGTGCACACACAAACAAGACGAGTTGTTGGATCGATACGACACATCTCTGAGTATGAACGTAATCCAGATATTTACACCAAATCATTGGCAATTCGGGACTTTTTTACAGTATAAAGTTGATTGATTCCTTGGTAATTAGCAATGAGCTTCAATTTCATATGAGCAAGTAAATTGGATCAGCGAGAATTGGTGTTATCTGCGATCGCTATTCCTACCATTTCTGCTATAACCACCACGACCTCGATGTCCACTTTTGGCCGATGATTTGCCGCTTGATGATGCACTCGAAGCTCCTGTTGCTGCCGTCGATGCTGATGCTGATGATGGAGTCAATGAACCGCTTTGGGTTGAGCTCAATGTCTGCAAAAATAAAATAGGAATTTTTACATGACAGAATAAAGTGACGAACATTGGGATTTTATCTGAAAAACAATGACAAAAAACGTACCTGAGAAGAATTGTTGGAACCCCCACCATTATTGTTTTTTCCGGTTGGACCTACGTTACTTGTAAGTGTGGAAGTTGATGGCACTGCTGTGCTTCCCAGTGCTGTCTATAAAGTGTAAGATAAAAGATAAAAAGTCATTTGTTGTATGCGAAAATGATTCAATGTGATTCTTAAATTTTAGATAAGGAAGGGAGGTACCACACACTTAGAAAATTTGAAACAATGTGCTAAAAGAATGATTAAAAATGTTCTGCCTTTATCAAAATCCCGTGACTAGTTTATAAACCTGTGTATAAAAAATGCAATGTTAAAGTTTGAATTTAATTTTCAGTGAAAAAGCTTTTGATGCAGAGTAATTTGTCAAAATTATGTTGCAATGCTAACAATAATCAAAAAATAAGATTAAAAAGAAGAATCTTGGACAAAAAAATATAAAAAAATAAGCTCCTACTTTATGGTGTGGAGGTCTTACTGCAGGTCCATTGTTTGAAGTGTTGGTGTTGCTAGTTGAGCCTGATGAACCTTGATTGACTAGTTGTTGCGCCAGAGCTGGATTTGGCTCGCTCATGTTGAGCTGTTCATTGATAACCATACAGAATTCGCCAATTTTCTGTATGTCACCATTTTTACCAGAATACAGCGTCAGGCACTGCCTCCAGACTGAAGCATAACCCTTGGTCAGTCTAACAATGTCACCAGGCATGAGGAGCTGGCCTGGCTCATCCCAGATTGATACATTGATACTTGCTGTGCTGTCAGCAACTTAACAAAAAAATTTCAACTACGCGTTAATATTTTATTGAAAGTGATAAAGTTAAATAAAAACTTTAAGAGGCATATTTTCAGATAAGTACTTATGCTTTATGTAAAATATTATTAATTTAATTATAAAATTAATCATCAACCAGTTCTGACAAAATAAAACATTAACAGCCAAAACAAAGCAGTAAAGACTTAATTTTGCCTCTAAAAATTCATTAAACACAAAAAAAAAAAAAAAAAAAAAAAAATTCACCTTTGAACGTTCGAACTTCGCGGTTGTCTTTGGTTATGGTGGGATGGCTAACTTCGAGGATGATAAACACGACGTTAATGTTTTTCAAACCAGGTCTTATGTCCTTGATCATCGTGTACGAGTTGTTGCCTTCCATTGTCTTATATTACCTTGTAATTATAGGAGCTAACCGTATAAAATTCTTTAAAAAGGCATATATTCTATAGACAGAATAAACTACCTTAAAAAAAAAAGTGACCACCAAAACGATGTAGAACTCCGGCAGAGTCCAACGGCAATGCAAATGTATAGGTATCGTACTGCGTTTTTAATACATCTCTGAATCATCTCTGATCTCTCTCTGCACCTGACAACAGTATAGGGACTAGGGACCTGACAGTCGCTTTTCTCAAATACGAACAGAGTCTGGTGTCTGGTCTCGTTTTGTTTCCCTATATATAGATATATTTTGTTAAGAGAACCGAACCAAAAGGAGTTTGAACAAATCTATTGAAACCAGAACCACCAGAGATGACCAAAAGGAGCTGTCCAATTGTCCGAATACTAAGGTTACGCTTGCAGGAGCAAAAACTATAATTGTTAACTATCCGATAAACGTTACAGATTCTGGTAAACGCGGGTGTGCGAGGGGTAGGTAGGTATTGTCAATATAATTGTCTTAATTCTTAATTTAGTTTAAGTATTAGCCATTAGCCTTGTATTTTTTACATTTGCCAGAATATAATGACGACATAATGACAGTATAATGATCGACATCGTGTACAGTAGATCAGCGCCATCTAGCGTTTCGGATTTCGCGGACTGACGCAAACTATTTTCTAGGGGAACCGTCTTGAAAAAAACCCTAGATTCTAGGGATTTCTGGAAGAAGTAAATAACTAGATATATATAGATATACATAGTAGGTCAAAAATCGCCGACGCGCGTGAAGGTGAAGGGTCTATTTGTGCGCTTCGAAATAGTACGTTAGTACGCAATCAGCCGGCTCCAGACTCCAGATTGATGGTCATATACATAATTACTAAAAATAATACTCAAATTTGACAGAAATAAGATAACAATTGTCATCCACCCTCAGTAGTAGTCCTGAGTACTGAGTTCGTACTTGTAACTTTTTTTTTTATTACGGGCATAAAATAA